CCTCGGCGAGCACAGACAGGGCGGGCGCCGCTCACCCGCCTTCGGGCCCGGAGGGCGCCGCCTCCCCAGGACTCGGGTCCTCTCCCCCGGGAGCGGCGAGCAGGGGGCCTCGCCGGGCAGGGGCCGCGCTGAGCCGCCGCTCAGCCAGCGCGCGGGCTTTCGGGGCGAGGGTGTGGCGTGAGGTTTGCGTCGTCAGGTACCAAGTGCCCAGCGCACCTGTGCCGTCCCGCGTCAGGAGGCGCCGCCGTCGGGCCGGTGTCCCGCCAGGGCGTGGCGGCGGCCGGAACTCTGGCCCTGGAACGCTGGTTTGCAAGCAAAGGCTGGGCTCGCACCGAAGGCCCCTCTGCGTGTTCTGCCTACAGAATTGTGCAAGTGTGGTGTGGACGTTTTGAAGTGACGCGCGTGGCTCCTTCCCCCACCCAGACGGTGGTACAGGTTGTGAAATGCTGTTGATCAGCTAGACTCTTTTTTCTTTTTTTAGCAGGATTTATTGAGAGGACAGAAAAGCTCCCACAGTAGAAGGGGACCTGAGGGGGTTGCCGGATCAGCTGGACTCTTAAACTGCTCCATCTGCTGTGATTGTTTTCTTGGAGAGTAAAAACCGGACTTTTTCCCCTCTTGAGGGATTATCTCATGTCAAAGGTGAGCTTGAGAACATGTATCAAATTGATAGCTTATTATTTGTTTCCAAGAATGTTTTTCTTCTTTTATACTTTTTTTAAATTTTAGAGTCATGGGGTACATGCAAGAATTTGCTATCTCAAGTGTATTTCATGGGGGTGAGGTTTGAGCTTTTAGCAAACCCTAGCAGTGGACGTGGTACCCATGGGCGGTTTTGTATCCCTTGTCCCCTCCTTCCTCCTTTAGCAAGGCCTGTGTGCCTGTGTCCAATGTTTAGTGCCCACCTATGAGAGGGAACATGTGGTTTTCAGTTATTTGCTTCTGTGATAGTTGCACTTAAGAGTGACGGTCTCCAGCTGCATCCATGTTGCTGCAAAGGCCATGATTTTGTTCTTCTTTATGACTGCACAGTATTCACCATATATATATATCTCACATTCTCTTTATCCAGTCCACTTTCGATGGGTATCTGGGTTGGTTCCATGTTTTTGATGTTTTGAATAATGCTACAATAAACATACATGTGCACGGGGTTTTTTTTGGTTGAATGTTTTATGTTCCTCTAAGTATACTCCCAGAAGTGGAATTGCTGTGTCAAATGGTAGCTCAACTTTTAGCTCTTTGAGAAATCTCCACACTGCTTTCCACAAAGGCTGAGCTAGCTTACATTCCCACCAACTGTGTAGAAGGGTCGCCTTTTCTCCGCAGTCTCACCAACACCTGTGGTTTTTTGACTTTTTTTTTTTTTTTTTTTGAGTTGGAATCTCACTCTGTCACCCAGACTGGGGTGCAGTGGTC